AAAAATTGGATTTTCACTGGATTTCACATTTAGTGATTTTCTTATTTTGGTGTAACTCTAAAAGTCTAAAACAAATGACCGCAGATACTTGAAGCCTTTTATTAAATTTTCAAATCTTAGAATTAAAAAGAAAATTTTTTATGAATTTCTAGCTTCAAATAATTTGTGAATTTTCGTGATTTTTACGTATTTTGTCAAAATTCGAACTTTGAATGCTTATAAAAAAAAATTGTGCATCGACCTTCCACGTTGGTATGTTGCTGCAGTGAAATCAGTTTTCATGATGAAAAATCTGGAAGAAAGTGCGCCGCTAGGCGGTACTTACAACATATACGATACTCGGAACTCGGAAGTCGATATGAAACTATGCGGAACTATATGGATGGAACACATATTCCTGTAATGGTCTTATAATATTGTTACTAGTCCGAAACCATAAAATCCACTTTATACCAACAATTAACATCATTCTACATATTATTAAACTATTCCATCAACATTAGCTAGTGTATTAATCGAGTAGAAATTCAAGTACGAATGTGTTATGTACTATATACTATATAGAGATGACGTAGTTATGAGAAGACACATAATCTCCTGTTAGATTCAGAGCAGACTTGCAGCAGAGGAATATATGTATTGATTTTACAGTTATGACGAGCATTATATTTTATATTTGTCATTCTCTTTGGAGACTATATACTATACATATATTATAACCGTCTTCGCTCAGAATCGTTTTTCGTATACAATGATATAATATCATTGGATTCAAATTTAATTCCATCCATTACAGTAACCCACTTGTGTCCTACTGTACAGCAGAGCGACATCCACGACTTACCCGCTTTTTTTTTTTTATTGCATTACCATCATACACGTGTCGTATATACTTATATGTAGGTATATACGTTATAAAGCCACTGCAGGATAAATAAATAATTTTTTTTTTTAATGTGGCTATTGTAAATTGTTTAAACAAATTTACTACTCGTTATTATTACTCTATAATGACATCACCAAATAGTATTTGAACATAACATCATAATTAATTAATAAATTTACATACATACAATTTAACTTTATATAATAATGCATGATTGAAAACGATTGAACAACTTATACCGGCCATACACTATACCAATACCAGCCACCAGGCATGTCAAACTCAAGGCATGTCAAAGTATCAAGTAGGCCAAATATATTGAAAAGCTTAAAATGATGGCTGCACACAAAAATTTAACAAAAAAATTTTTTAATAAATTCTTATTCGATTACAATTTATCAGACGCGGCATTAATATTTTTTATTTTTTATTAATATTTTATGTTTTTATTCATTCATTAATATAGCTAGCCAGGGGCACAAAAATTAAGCTGAGGACCGCATGCGGCCCGCGGGCCTTGTGTTTGACATGCCTGCACTATACCTATAACCTATTACCTATCATACTATATGTGCACAATTCACTAATTTAGCACCTTTTTTTTAATTTTTATAATCTATAGCCTATAGGAATAGGACAATATATTATGTAAATTGTGTATAAACCACAACAATAATATAGAAACGAAAACGAAACTAAAAAAATAAATGATTGGCTGTATTTTTTGTGGTAGTTGTATAATAATTTATAAGTAATAGATGTGTTTTCACGCCAGTAATGCAAAAACAGTCCCCGCGGCATCGTCGGTTCACTCGGTTCAATCGGAAAAAAATATGTGTAAAATGTGCGTATATATAAATATATGACAAAAAAAGTAATTTCACTACACTTTCTTTGTTTATTAACTTCATAACTATTTAAAAAACTTTTTAAAAGTAACTTACTCGTTTATAAACCGGTGGATATAGCCGGTATACGTACGAGCTATGGTGTAATGTTGATGGACAAATTAGAGTTTTTTACATCTTCTTTTTGCAGTTATTCTTATGTTTCATTAAAAAAATTACCCACGATCGGCACCGTAAAAAAAAAAAAAACAGTAATCACGATATATATTTATCATTTAAAATTGCAATGAGTTAAGAGTACTGCGTTTACATATTAATGTAATTGTCATCCATTACATTCAGTGACTGACGCAATGATGAAGTACACACGACAATTACTATGTACCTATAAAACAGTGGTGCCCAACATGCGGCCCGCGAAGGTATTCCGTGTGGCCCGTTACAAATTTTTTAAATAAAACAAAATATTGTAAAAAAAGTAAAGTAATATTTATTTATTTCATTATTATTATTAGTCATTACTATTATAAAATAAATAAATATAAATATATTTGATGGTCCGCTCGAAAATGATTGCTTACCAAAGTGGCACGCTGAAGAAAAATGATTGGAC